ACGCCGGTGTATAAAGCCGCCCCGCCGCGGGGTGGGCTGGAGGGAGAAGGGACCTTGCGTGCGCCGCGCTCCGCTCGCAGCGCTTTCGCTTTCACTTCGCCCGGGCACTGCGGGGGGAGGCTGCAGGCGCCGGGTTAGCCCCGCGGGCCCGCTCTCGGTTGCGTAAATGTCACCGCGCCCAGTGCCACCCACAGCGGCCGGCGGCTTCTCCCTGGCTCCGCAGGCGGGGAACACGCTGCCTTTCCTGCGCGAGCCGCCCTGGGGCTTCTCAGCGGGGAAGCTGCGCTCATCAAAGAGCCTCGTTTACCCACCTGCTCTCGCTCCCAGGCTGCTGCCCTTCACAAGGCATTTCAGTATCCGCACCGGACAGTCCAGCCAGCCAAACGGCTCCTGGATGTTGGTTCCTGGGCTTGTTTCCCCACCTGGCACGGCCGGGATTTCTTACTGAGCACCGGCTACACCCCGCGGTGAAGCAGAAACAGGGTGGGCAAACTCACTCCATAGCTCCCCCCGGGACCACAGGACAAGACAACACCTGCACCTGCTGTCCCTCCCCTCTCCAGTTAAACGAGGCTTTATGCTTTCCCCTCTATGAAGGCTTGCACGACTACACCCCCTAAGGATTCTGACCACCAGAATGAAAAGTTAAATTTCTTACAGGTACTACAGTATTATAGTACCAGTTTAAAAAAAGGGTGGGATGGAGAGAGGGGTCCTCAGAGAAAAAGACAACACCTGCACCTGCTGTCCCTCCCCTCTCCAGTTAAACGAGGCTTTATGCTTTCCCCTCTATGAAGGCTTGCACGACTACACCCCCTAAGGATTCTGACCACCAGAATGAAAAGTTAAATTTCTTACAGGTACTACAGTATTATAGTACCAGTTTAAAAAAAGGGTGGGATGGAGAGAGGGGTCCTCAGAGAAAAATGGGTGTGTGGTGTTAAAGGAAAGGTATGATGTGGAGGAATCTCAGATTTAGGAGTACAGCCATTGCACTGCCCAGTTGCCAGAGCCCCATGGCTGGCATGCTACCCAGCCTGTAGTGCAGGGGTGGATAAGATCCTGCCCAGCAAGCAGTTTCATGTGGCTTGCGGCCCGCCCTACTGCACCACCCCAGGCCAATCAAGAACCAGAGGCAGGAGAGTGCACCCAGTCTTCCCCCCTTCTGCCAGGGGTGTGCCCCAGAGGGACTCACCAGCCGTTCAAGGTGGCTGGTAGTTCCCTCTAGGCACCCCTAGGACATGGGGTTAAGAGAAGACAGTGGTCCATGGACACTATCAATAGTGGTGAAGTGGCCCCCTAGAAAAATTGTCCACTCCTGATGTAGAGATACAAGCCATTTTTGTTGCTACACCAGCAGCATCTGGTGCCCCATGCCCAGGTGGCCAATCTCTTATCATACCCAGTGGCTTACTTTCACCTTTGTTGTGGAGGAGCCGGCCTCCTCCCCCCTGCCCACACACTCTCTCTGTTCAAAGGACTGCTCAAATTAAGAGCTAAGACACTAAATTTGGTGTACAGCTTCCTCTTATCCTAGCTTACAGCAAGGTAAGAGTTTGATTGTGCCAAGAAAATGGGATTGCTTCTCATAAAACCATACAGAAGAGAGTCTATCACCAGGTAGGTGAAAGGGGCAGGTAGGGAGCTGAAACCACCCTCCCCCATTCATATGGGAATATTGTTGGCTGTTCCCCTTTGTCAGGGAGCAAGGGGAGAGTACACAATTTGCTGCATTCCTCACTCTGGCTAGGGAACAACAGGCAGACAAATCTGAACCTGCCCCAGCTGGGGAACATGCACCCCTTCCCCAGCTGTGCCTGCTGAAGCTGCAGGGGCTATGGAGAGGTGCTCCTCACCTGGCCTCAAGCTGCTGTGGTGACAGATGGCTGGGATTGTTCTCGTTCCCCAGGGCAGCTGCCTACCGAACCCCTCATCCCCTGCTCCACTCCAGAGAAATGATTTAAATAAAGAAAAGCAAAAATTGAGTTAGACCGAAGCAATGCTGGGTAAACCATCTAGTATTTAAATAAATCAATTCAGAGGGGAAAAAACAGGGATGATAGTTTAAAAAGAGGGTAATTCTTATGCCAAAAAAATTCAAAGTGATTCCAACTGATTGAACTACTCTAAATATTTCATTTCAATAAAAAATGAAATGATCAGAAAAGTTTCTGCATAATTCAAAAAGGTGTTTTTGTTTAAAACCAAAAACAATTTCAGCTAGCCCTAGAAATCAATCAGTCTACACAGAAGAGTAATGGGGAGCCTCCTCTGGGGATGTGTAAGGAACAAATAAGAGAAAAATAATGAAGAAGAGGGAGGGTAGCACAAGTCTGAATTTAGACATACCAAGTTTAACCAGATAACCCACACCTACTCCTAAATCTATGAGTCATCTAGCTTCCCTCATCACCACCACCCATAACAATTCTAGCATATTTACCATGGGGCGGATCAGTGATAGTATTTCTAATCCTCCTCCAGAGGAGTGGCAGTACAATTTTTCTACCTTGCTAGGATAAGAGGTGAGGGCACATTAGCTTCTCTTAATAAACACTGCGCCCCCCCGTTCAGGGAGCTCTAAGATTAAAATATATAGGAACATTTGCGATGTTCACTCATTCTGCCAGGCAGTAGGAAAATGTGGCATGAGAAGGATGCCCCTGCCAGAGTAGGAGACACTGCCTTGCTGTAGTTTGGAATATTACATTAGCCAGCCATCTGCAGTAGTTGCTATTTGCTTTCCAGTAAGTTCATTGTTCCTGTACCAGCTCTAATTATGTTGACACCATAGCCAGGAGATCCCAAGGAGGACAAGGCAATAAGGAAGCAGATGTCAAGAGATAAGATAGGTGGAAACATGGATGCAGTAAAGGAGTGGTGACTGGTGCCTGTTGGGGGAGGGAGAGCAGGGAAGACAGGGACCAAGTTTGAGTATTTCATTAAGCAATTAAAATATTGGTAAGGGCAGGGCCGGATTAAGGGGTGGGCTAGCCAGGCAGCTGCCCAGGGCACCAACCTATGGGGGGCGCCACGTGCCCAGGGGCTGTGCGGTGCCCCTTAGAGCTGCCATCAGGCGCCACATGCCTGATTGCATCTGTAAGATGCGCTGCGTGCCGGGGGCGGGGCTGCACATGCGCTGCGTGCCCGGGGGGCAGACCCACGCATGCATCATGCACCTGCTGCCCGGGGCGCAGGAATGGCTCAAGCCAGCCCTGGGTAAGGGCATGGGGGAGGAGCAGTGGCCCTGGTGAGTGCTACCATGAGTCACTATGGTCCAAATGATACCTTAAAGCAGTAAAGCACCTGCAGTAATGGAGGGGGGAGAGAGAGAGGAAGTAAACTGATTTTAAAGTAAACAACTGCTGTGATTACCATTGCAAGACAGCAAACAGGAGAGGTGGCCAGGAGATGTAGTTCTCTCTATTAAAAGTTTAATTCTCTCTCATAGATAGTTATAAAGCGGCTTTGAATCTAAAACTGTTTAAAATATGACAAGTGGAGGATTCTTCTCTTTAGTCTGTGACCACAACACTGAATTAATACTCCAAACAACTGTGGAAGTTTCCCTGCTTTGCAATATGCTTTCAATGTGACCTTGAACAAGTCACTTAATTTCTGGGTAAATTTTTCCAAAACCGAAGAGACTGGCTATCTTATGTGCCTCAGTTTCATATCTATAAAATGGGGATACTTCCCCCAACTTTAGAATACTATTGGAGGTAAATTCATTAATGATCCATGTCCAGTGCTCAGCACTTTGGAAATACCATGAAACTTTCTTAGGCAACTAATTATGGATTGTAGAGTGAGCTTAACACTTGGCATCTATTTTGGAAAATCTTGGCCATATTTGTGAAGTACTTAGCTGCTACGGTGATGCATGACATAGCAAATCTACTAAAACCAAAAGCAGTTCTGGCTAATAGCCACCTGCAATTGTGCTAGAGCAGAGATGTTTAAGAACTGATCTATGTCAATTTTTTTATAAAACCAAGAATGTCATGGTTCTGGGAGTTGGTCCATGCAGGTGGACCCTGCAATCTCATGGAGCTCTACTAGTTGCAGAGTAACTTGCAGGATTAGGGCCACTCTCTACTTTAAAGCAAAAATAATAAAATAGCTTCTCTGGGGACCCTTGAAGTCCTTCAGGAAACCTGGAAGCAAAGGTTTGGGACACAGGCCAGCCAGACTGAGAATATTAGATTAAGCCTTCTGCTTTTCAGTGAGACTAAACAAAAATACAAAAACATAGGCCTTAAATAAGCAACAGAAAAAATGGTGAGCAGTAAAATAAGCACTTTCAAATAATGAGCTGGAAAAGCCAGTGAGACTGAAAGCCAGTGGTTGTTGGCAGCCAATTTATTATTTTGATTTATGCTCCTAAGGGGTGGATGTTTTGGTGCATATTAGCCCAAAGTCACACCACATAGGTGAAAACTAATTTCACCTTTTTCAGATAAAGGACATTAAAACTGACATTACAAACTTGAGTAATTACTTGCTCTAGAGATGGGCAAAATAAGTAGAGATGGTTTGGACGTACAGGACCGATTGGGGGAGAATATGAATGAATTTAACTGGTGATACAGAGCATAGGAGATATCGGTAATTTGAGAATTAAAAATTCTTACAGAACATTGTAGGTAGCAGCACACAAGCCCACAAAAACATCTCCCAGATGCATACCAACACAACCTCAATTTTGTTTTTATAAAAGTTAGATTTAAAACTACACTTAAGATAAACAAACATTGAAAAAGAAGGAACATTTACTGCCAAGATGAACTAACTTAACTGTCCCTGCAACAATGTTATAAAAATAATCATGCTACTTTATGTATCCACTACAAAGTTTCATATGATCAGTGTCCATAAAAAACCATATCATCCTCCTACAGTCATACATTTGGTAGAGCGGACAATTCTAGCCTTCTTTACAATTACTGTATATACATTCCACAGGGGAAAAATGCTTTACCAATTCCTTGTTTGACAAACAGCATATTGAGGCAATTTTTCCTCATTTCCTTTTTAAATGCTGAGTCTTGAGAGATGTTGAAGGTACTTGGCACTTAGGATAAAGCCCAATGAATCCAAGTAACAAAAATTCAAGTGTCAGACACAGATCTGCCAATAGAGATATGGAATCAGTTTTAAATCAAGGTCTATGGAGCACAATTCAGTTTTCTATATCATTTTGCCCAGCTGTACAAATACGATGGCTGTTCAAAATTTAAGCTTTTAGGTAAAGAAGTTCTTCCAGTTCTGAGAAACAGTTTCTTAAAAAGCCAGACATCTTGCAAAGCCACTGGTTTAAAAAAAAAAAAAAACCAAAAAAAACAAACACCCACACACAAAGCTGGGAGACTATAATTGCAGAAGGAGCAATGACAAATTAGTTGGGCATTTAAATAAAAAAAAATCAATTGTGAAGAAAAAGATTTGCAGATGTCACATCTGAAAGATGACACAGGAGTGCCATCTTGTGAGAGAATGTAAGCAGAGCACATTAAATATTTCTAGATAAGTAGGATACTAAAAAAAACCCTAAAAATATGTAGTATTAAAAATTGTATCATGAAGTTTGTCCCTTTTTATCTTGTAGCAGGAACATTCAAGATACCTAGTTAAAATATCTAAAGCATTATTAGTATAACTGTTTTCCCATCTGTCTAAATCATTCAAAAAGTTTCACTTACTGGACTAACATTTTCTGTGTCTGATCTCTGTCCAACGGTGAATAATTTTGAGGGAAAGATGAAGGAAAAATAGCTCATTTCTAAAGTATGAATGTTTAACTTTCTCCTTCACAAAGCAGCGAGCCCTCTGCAGGTTTCAACTTTCAATCACTAAAGTTCTACTCCCACTTCAGAGGTCAAGGTTTATTGAGGGGTTATTATTGAGAATCCTACGTTTGGTCGAAGGAATTTTGAATTTCACTGCACTGGGAACAAAGTGGTTGCATACTAAATACTAGTGACCAGAAAGTGAAATATTACATGATTTAAGAGACACACTGAACAAGTTAGAACAATTACTCATTTATTTCAACAAGCAGAAATTTTAAATTTTTACGCAATGCACATTAAAGAACAGTGGAACTTAGAAAGTACAAAAATACCAACTTTTAGAAAACCCAGTTATAATACGTAACAATAATTGGGAACAACATAGTACAGCAGCTGAAGACTAGCTTTACAAATGTAATATCCTCCTTTTAAAGATTTTGGCCCCATCTTCCCTTAATTAACATTCAACTCTGAACCATTAAAATAAAACAGGTATAAAATACTAGAGAAATTTCTCCAGTAAACTGAATTATGACCTTAGGTGAAATTTCCATCGAGATTATCATGTGGCACTGAATAGATTCACTGTAAAAGTTAGAAACTGATACCTGATTTTCTCTTAAATAGCATGACATCTTAAAACATAGATTTGCTCATTTAGGTTTTCTCCTCTAGATGACAGTTTAGAACTCATTCTTATAGTCACTCATGCTTGCTCTTTTGGGCAGTAATGCACACCTCAGATGAGGCATTAGGGTAACATGTTTCAAATGCACAGGAATAAAAAAAATACACCTGTTGCGAGGTTCTTAGGGCTCAGAGAACTTGATAAGACAAAGGAGCTTGATAAGAAAAAGGTGCTTCAACATTCTGCTTACCCATGACCTCTTGGGACCAATCCAACCCATTAAAGTCAGTGGGAATCTTTCCATTGACTGGACTAAGGGTTGGATCGTTACAGCTTGGCAAAGTATTCTGACTCCCTTTTTCCTTTCCCCACTCCTGTAAAATCAGAGTGGACCAAATTACTCAACAAGAAAAGTAGGGGGCTCCAAAGATGGCAAGAAGGGCCTAAAGGAAGTGGCACATCCAGATTTAAGAATCTGTATGGAGTCTGCCATTTGCTACCCATTGATCTACACAAAGGGAAAGCTCAGAACTAGAAAGTTAATGATGGATATATCAGTGCAAAGTAAGTTTAATGTCTATAGCAGAAGATGCAGGCTGTTTAAAAATGTTCAGCTCAGCTTTCATTACAAAATATAAAAAAAGTTTTTAAAATCATTTATCAGTTCTCTTCACTGCCCGACTTGAAATAGGTAGTCCAAAATAGGATTCCTGAAATTGAACATGGAGCAACAGAATGCTTTGCTGCAGCTTGAATTTACTCACATGTCTAATTCATTAGGAAACAGTAAACGTTATTAATGATTAAAGAAGTTGTATGCAATGAATTATGGACTTTTCCACATTTGTCTAGTAAATACATTTAATATTAATTTTGGGGATGCATTGCATCTGAAACTGAGCATTGGAATTGATTGATCTATTACTCCATCATTTGGAGTATATTTGGTTATTGTTCTAAAAAGCGTCAAATTGTCTGAAAATAAATATTTATTTTTCCTTAACCTTATTTTTGAAAGCGTGCTTTAATTTCTGAATATCCCTGAAATAAATCAACAAGAGTATCAATACCTTATGGCACTATTTCAAAATTGGAAAAAATCTTCCTGAATAAGAAAGACTAAGATTTTAGTCTATCATTGAGCTTCATCTGTCATAGAAAAATGCTCAAGTGCATTATTTTCTTAATGTGCTGCTGGCTAACAACTGAAACCTGCAAGAGTTCCCATTGCTTTTTCTGTTGCCAGAGCAACAAAGCAATACCCACCTGAGTATCTGCCACTGTAAGTATCAATTTAGTAGCTAAGATGAAGTTTGTGCAGCTAGCAGATGTAACTAACAGCACTTTAACCATAAGAGATTTTTAGTGGCAAAGAATGCCATGAAAACTCACAATGTATTAATGTTTATTTAATTTCTGTTACTGGATTATTGCGTATGTAATTCAAGTACTTCTATTAATGTCTTGACTGATGACATTTAAAATTAAACAAACTGAAGGGTTTTTATACGAAATACAGTGCATTAAAAATAGTTTATTGAACTACTTTGGAGGGAGCTAAATTGTCAATACAAAATATAGCAAGAATTGTATTCAATAATTTGATTCTTAAGATCCTTCTCAGTAATCAGCAAACTAAAGTGAAAATATTTAAGGGCATACAGTCTCCCACCCCTCAAATTAAGAGAGTTCCACTCTCCCCTATACTATTAAGCTAGACTCTGTACACACCCCCACACACACTTTAAAACAAAATGCAAGAATATTAAATATATTTTCCTATTAAACTGAAAAGGTATTGTTTTCAATCACATTCCTATGTACCAAGTCAAATGGGGCTGAATCGAAAAAAAAATTAAACACCATTCTTTCTGAAGCAAAAGCTTTGGGTGAAACTCCAAACAGGAATTTTTTTATGTTTACACTCAATGCTCCACATGCAAATTTGTTTCAACAGTATGAACTTTCAATTATAAAGAAACACAGGGCCTCATTTTCAAAAGTGCTGAGCACCCCAATACTAGGTGAAATCAACAGAAGTTGTGGAGCTTTGTGCTGAGAATCAGGCACAATACACTTTATTCTACTTTTGTGCAAAGAAAAACAAACAGTAAATTTCATCTGAGAGTATGCTATGTAACAAAACTGCCATGATATGTGAAAGAAAAAAAAACTGTTACCCAGCTCGCATGAAGAAACAAAGATAGTGCTTTCCTCGTATGATTTTCATCATCTTCATATTAGAACTGACAAAGGGAAAAATAGTCTTTCATTTTTTAACAAGATAAAAAGAATTTATAGTGTGGATTTATAGTGATAAATAGCATAGGGGAAATCTATGAAAATAAGAATAAAACTAACACATTTTTCTCATTCTTGCTACCCAGATTTTAAAACCTGAAACAAGACACGCACTGAAATTTCCTGTTCCTCATTCCAAGAAAAGCACTTTCAGATGCAAGACTAAAATCTAGCTATATGAAATCTAGCTAAACCCCATAAGAGGCACTTTAAGCCAGGCTGCAAAATGTAGGTGTTTAAAAAAGTGTAATTAACTTAATTTCTGAGCCTAACACTGTTCCTTTTTTCCACTGACTACGCAAGAACTCTAAGGAAACCAAGGTAGAGCTCCTGCAACAATGGCTTACCACTAAGAAAATACTCATCAATATTTGAATACAAGGCCACATTCTAATCTCTGTTAAACTCCAGATTTATACTTGTACAACTGAGATAATACTCTGATCCAAAGTGGTTTTTTAGTGTGCTTTTTAGGTGTACCAGACAGTAGTTTTCAGTCTTACCTAGCATTCCTAACACCATCAATATATTTTTCACTAAGATGGACATGCCAGAGCTGAACTGACATACCTTACCGTGTTTAAGTGGCAAACTATTTTATAAAATGAAGATTAAGCAATGACTATTTGGGAGTCAAGGAAATACATCTTGTGGTTGGAGATTTCTTGTGGTTTAAGGGCAGTTTTGTGTCTGCCAAACATACCAACAATAAGTATCCTTATAAACTAACAGAGGTAGTCTTGTTCTATACTAAGATTGAATAGTTTTGATTTCCCAATTTTCCTCTTCAATCTGTTTAGGAAGGATGGCCTACGAAGGAAAATGCACTCAAATGGACAACAGGAGTTTGGTTTTTTTGGCAAACTAAAATATCTTCTTGGCCTCACTTGTTTCCGTCTGCTATTCACCACTCTTCTTTCCCTCTTCCCTACATTGTGAGCACTATTTCAAAATTAATTGCTGTAAACAGTAAAAAATAGTATTTCTTTAATGTGATTAATAAGAAAAATCAATAAAATTAAGGTTTTTTCTACATTCAAGGCTTGATTAATGTTAGATACTTAATGGTTCTTTTCTTCTTGTGAAGAAGGGATGAGCAACTTTGTTCATCTGATGGAAGAACACAATGTTTAAAAAAAAAAAACCACTGCGGAGAACTTAACGATTCAGCTGTACTATTGAGGAGCAGAACCAGTTAAGGTAGCACTTGAGAATGGTTATAAGGTTTTGGTTCAGAATCAGTGTTAGAAAATAAAGCTTAAAAGTTATGATGCAATATGCCTGGAGCGTATCCAGCACTAGGAACAGTGATTTGAGACTAAAGTATAAGGCCTTGGCTTTCTCTCCATGATTGGAAACTTTATCCTTCATTGTGTTAACAGAATCCAAAGTTACTTGACTTTCATCAAACTCCTCATTTCCATCGATGACGCACTAATGACGACTCATCATTGACTACATCATTATCAGTGTAGCGATGCTGACAGCGAGGTGGAAGAAGCAGTAAGATTATCAAGACAAGGAGGATGATTCCACATAAACTCATGAGAGCATAGGAGATAATCCATAACATCGGTTCATGGAAGGTCACTGTGGAGACACAGTTGCTTGCTATATCTGCTGTTGTGAAAGGGCCTTCAATCTCAGATACTGGAGAGCCACCAACCTCTGAGAAATTACAAAAACAGAAACATTGTGTCAGAAGCCAACACTTAAGGATGGGAAGAGATGACTTTTCTTAGCAAGATTAAAAATAGAAACCTACAACAGTGGCACATTCAAATTGTTCTGTACTTTAGATGTTTGGAATAACTGCAGTAGCTCTGTGTTCTTCACAGTTGATAGATAAATTATACCTCTTATCCAGACTGTTAGGGGAGGGGGGAAGGAAGAAAAAAAAATCAGGAAATGGTTGTGGTAACCCTGCTCCCCACAACCATATTAAGCTGATGTCAACATGGTATGAAAAAACACTGTGCTTTTCTAGCCTTTCTTCCTACTTCTATTTAACAAAGATTAGAAAAGCCCATCACTACCTACCCACAAAAAGGCTGTCTATATATTACCTACCTCTGTCGACAGAGGTAGGTAAATTAGACACTTCGAAATGGCAAATGAAGTGGGGATTTAAATATCCCACGCTTCATTTGCATAATGGCGCTTTTTCGAAAGAGCGCCATTATGTGATTATGCAAATGAAGCATAGGATATTTAAATCCTTACTTCATTTGCCATTTCAAAGCATCTAATTTACATCCCTCTTTCAACAGAGGGAGGTAGTCTAGACATAGCCAACATATGTTTTTTTGGCGGGAGGTGGGGAGGGAGGTTAAAGTAAAATTAAAAACATAAGTAAAGAGAAAAGGTATAGACGTTCTCTTCCCCTTTCACGATGATAAATTCATATACTAAGGATTTATAGAATTGGGCTCTAAACATAAGGTACTCTTACAGTAATTGGGAAGGAGCTATATATATATATATATATATATATATATATATATATATATATATATATATATATATATATATATATATATATATATATATATATATATATATATATATATATATATATATATATATATATATATATATATATATATATATATATATATATATATATATATATATATACACATACACACACACAGAGCTCGACAAATTCTGGAAAACCCAACTCGCCAGACAAAAAAAAAAAGCCGCTGCTGCCATGTTTCCTCCCCTTGCTCCATCAACTCCGCTGGTGCCTGCTGCCCCCCAACTCCTCACCCTCCTCTGCTGTACTGACTCCTGTCCTTCTCACTGCCCTCAGCCTTCCTCAGACCTGCCCCCTCCACCAGCCCCTCTCTCCCCCGTGCCCACTCCTTCAGTGGACCTAATCTGATCTGATCCTCATCCCTCTTCTAACACCTCCCTCTACACACCTGCCCTGCCTCTCTCCTCTGGTGCTGGTCCCTCTCCTGCAGGTGTCTGCCCTTCTGCTTTACCCCCAGAATCTCCTGGCACTTGCACCCTCCTGGTGCCTCCCCCTTCCCTTTTTCTGATGCCCACCCTCTGCCAACGTTCCCCTCATGCCCCTGTGCTCTCACACGACTTGCTCCATCCTTGCCTTCCTCATGCCCACCCCTTCTTTCTAGCCTTCTCCCAGCACCTCCCCCCTCTAGCCCCCAATGTCCTTACTCTCTCCTCTCCCAACATCACCCTGTTCCCCCCCCTCCCAGACACCTCCCCTCGTGCCCTTTACCTCATTGTCTGCACTTGGCCCCCTGGCATTTGTCTCTCCTGCACCCTGTCCCTTGGTGCCTTCCCCTTTCTTCTTCTTATGATCCCTCCCCCTCAGCACAAGCCCCTTCCCCATATTTTTCCCCTCCCCTCCTCTCCCCACAGTCCACTCCAGCCCAGCCCCTTGCCCTCCCCCAAGGCCAGCTCTAGGTTTTTTTCTGCCCCAGCAAAACATTTTTGGTTACTCCCCCCTTTTTATGTTGTCTTTTACACATTTGCAATGGGGTTTTTTTTTTGTTTTCATTTGTGTCCCGGCATTTTAGCGCTATAAATAGCAAATAGCATTTTCATTTGTTTTTTTCCATAAAGGTGCTTCAAGTGAACTCCCCCTTTCACTCGCTGTTGGGTCACAGCAGCCTTTTCCCTACCCTGTCCAGCCCCTACCTATGGACAAGCACCCCTCACCTCCGACCCACAGGGGGAGCAGGGTGCAGGGACAGCACAGAGCCAGAGGGGTGCAGGGAATAGTGGGGGGTAGTATGGAGGTGGCATGGGGAATGGGAGGCACAGAGCAAGAGGGACGCAGGGTGTGGGATGTGGTGGAGGCATGGGGAATGGGACACGGGGAACGGGGCAGAGGGATCGGGGTCTAGGGGCAGTTCAGGGAACAGGCAGCACAGAGCTGGGGGCAGGGATCGGAGGGGAGCAGGGTGCAAGGGTAGTGCAGAGCCAGAGAGTCACAAGGAAGAGGGAGAGCAGGGGGTCCGGGATGCAGGGGCGGCATGAATGGGCAGCGCGGAGAAAAAGGGGCGCGAGGCAGGTGCAGCGAGCCGGGTGGTCGGATGGGAGCGGTTTCTCACCAGCAAGGGGGTTGGGGCCATGGCAGGACTGGAGCCGGTGGGGTGGGTCCTGGTTCAGCCAGCTCCCGGGGCCACGCAGCCAGCTGAGAGCTGCTGCGGCCCTTTAAAATCAGCGGGGCCCTGTCATGCCAGCATCCTGGCATCTGCTGCCATCCCGCCTCTGGCCCCACTTCCTTGCGCTGGAGCTGCACACAGGCAGCCCGGCACCGAGAATCACTGCGCTTCCCCCGTCCCGGTGGCGCTCTGGGGTCGCGCCGCCCATAGTGCAGGCTTTGGCCAGCCCGTCACAACCACCCACCGGGCCAGTCTGCCCCTGCACTCACCAGCTGACAAAATCTACCCACCGCGGGCGAGTGCATTTGTCGAGCCCTGTGTATATGTACATGTATGTCTGAATACAGGTCCAGTATCAGTGAGAAATGGAATAGCCAGGTAGAGTAAGCTTTACAAGAAAAATCAACATTTCATTTAGCACGAATAAGTACTGAAACCCCATTGCCCTCATCCGCACATGGCACAGCGGGATGGAATGTACATCAAGCACATAACTTTTAAAGAAGAAAAAAAAAACCCCACAACCACCCACGGTACACTGACCAATACCTGTTTCCTTAGAGACAGTGCAGAATGCATTGTGAAAGATTTTTGCCCCTGAAAATTGTGCCACAAAATGATTTTTTAAATTTAATAAAGGCTGAAGGGGAAAAAAATCATTGAAAGTGGTAGACTATATTGGCCAGCTCGGTGCAAATTCCCCCCAAATCCTCAGGATTAGCCCGAGGACATCATGGAACTTAAAGAGTTGATTAGAATTTATATGGCTGAATTCTGCTTGAGAGGTTGCAGTAACAAGTAAAAAAGGTACAAAGACCAAAGCTAACACAATGATTTGAATTTCCAATAGCCTCAGTGCTATCTGATGGTTGCATGGTCATCTTACCAGTGACAGGAGGAGACAACATCACACTCTAGAACTGGTAGGCACTGTACTACCAGAATGATTCCCAAGGATGCTAATCACCTTGAATTCTTTAGGAAAAAAACCCCCTAAACTGCAGAACTACCTATTTATCGTTAGTTGGCAGATTCATTTGTAGGTGTCACAGCAGAGATGGTCTTGAGGAAGAATTGTAAGTGAATGCTTATCGATTAATTATGTCAGTTATACGCAGCAAAGCCACCTTCCTGGGAGCTGGGCAGAAAAGGTTTCTGCAGTATAAAGCTAAGCACAGGTAACCATGTGATTTTCAGCAATTAAACAGTTAGGGTATGTCTAGACTACAGGGTTTTGTCGACAGAAGTTTTGTCGACAGCTACTGTCGACAAAGAACGTCTAGACTACATTCAGTTCTGTCAACAAAGCAAGCTGCTTTGTCGACAAAACCCTGTAGTCTAGACACAACCCTACATGCAATAACACCTTCTGTCGACAGAAGGCGTTATGCCTCGTAAAATGAGGTTTACCAGCGTCGACAAAACTGCTGAGTTCTGTCAACGTTATGTCGACAGAACTCAGCGGTAGTGTAGACGCAGGTATAGTTTTGTCAACAAAACTCTGTAGTCTAGACACACTCCTACTCTATTACATGATTTTTAACATTCCTTGTGTTGTCAAAGAAGTCATGAAAGACAGAATTTCCTGACTAGTTCATAGTGCCATTTGTTATGTAAAAAGCAGAACAGGTGCACTGCACTGGGAAAAAAGACACACAGTGTGTTTCATATCTGAGGGGCTGTAGATTTTGAAGGGTGAATATTTTCTAGTTGAGAGGTTTTGAAACTGTGGTCCATGGGCCAGCCCCATTCAAGTGGTCAGGAGCAGTTTCCTCTAAGGTGTGAGCCTGCTTGGCTGCACATCAAAAATGAAGGGCTACATACCTAATTAGTGGAGCTACATAGGCATGGGCTCCAGTAATT